ACAGAACTGAGAATCTGGACTTCAGCCATTTAGGCTTGATGTGCCTAAAACCGTAAAAATGTGTTTCTTGTGCTTGACTGCATACTGTTCCTCAAACTCAAATGTATCTAAATGCATTTTAACAGAGATAATGGGGGGGGGGTTCACATTCAAAAAATATCCCTCAGCTCGTCAAATGGAAAATTTGACTTTCTTGGTGGAGTTTTACTGGATGGAGCCTGGCCTTGCAGCAGTTTTTCTACAATAGTCATCAAGAGAAGTTGTTTACTTTAATCGAGCTGAAATGTCATGGGTAATTCAGAATGAATGACTTGTTGTATTTTGTGAAGCTCTGTTGCCAACATAGCTGCCTATAGTAATGAAACAGTAAGGACCCAAGGTGACATATCCAACATTCCTCCCAATTACTGTAGATCAGACCTCTGCTTGATCTGATCTGTCCTGGGAATGAAGCCGGAAGCAAAAACATGGAGAGATGGCTGTAGAGAAGATACCAGTAGAGGACGAGGGTGCACTTTACAGTGGGACACAATTGTGATTTGTGTTTGCAATTGTTTCTGTGCTGTGTTGTGAGCGGAAACCGGATTGAAATGGTTCAAACAGGTCGTTGGAAATAAGGTGGGCTTTGAAACAAGTAAGGACCAGGAATGTGTTGTGCCTTCCTCAAAGAAGGACTGATAGCCACGATAATGAACTACTACTACTGACAAGCCAGCCACAGGAGACAGGAGGAGGGAGAGTATAGGTGATTAGTATAAACAGGTACTGACAGCCTGACAACTACATTTTTCCTACAAAGTAATTCGCAAAAACAACAAAAATGGTGATAATACCGCATCCTTAACACCCTAAACCACCTGAAATTCCTTGACAGCGCTACCCCAAACCCCGTGACCTTGTTTACTTCTGCTCCAGCCGACAGTACAGACAGACAGGGAGGCAGCCAGGCATCACACACAAGGATAAGCGCTCAGTTTGCACACTGACAGTGCAGTAATGAACTCACTCACACTGATACTATCTCCGTATTATTCTAAAAGCCCCATTATGTGAGCCAGCTGCCATTCTATGTATTGATATCAGCAGCTTCCAAAGCTTAAGCATGAGTCACTAAAAGAGACAGTAATTATGATGTGTAGTCACCTTGTACTAAGGGATGCCCCCGTTTGCATAGCAATGCAGTTAGAGCAGGGCTGCTTCAGCTGGCTGCATAACAGGCAAATGACAATCAATAGAAAAACCTCCCTTTGCTGCACATAAAAAGTTAAAATGGTGAAAATGTCTGTCTAGCTCACCTAATTGTTCATCGGAGAGGACAGAGCTGGCTATAGACCAAAAAGACAACATTTGGGTAAAATAAAGTTTGGTTGGTCTTGGTATTTACAAAGTGGATCATTATGTTGTTTGTTTGACTTCACGGCAAGGCCTAGACCTGTTGTCTGTTTAACAAAAACACATGTTCTAGGGGGGGATTCGTGATTTACGAGGAAATACAAAGCATGTTTTTCTTGTGTGTCTATAAATACAGTTACATTGTCATGTTTGATCTGAATTGATTTAACTTGTTTTCACTTCATGAAATCATTTTATGTATATTGTCTGTTCCTCCACAGTGGATTACCTTCTGGCCAACTGCCACATTGCCACAGACTTATTTAATTCACAAATTCACTGCATGTGCATGTGCAATATTTACTCTAATTTTCAGCTCTGTTTTTGGTCTCTACCCACTCCTGAGGGAAATATCTGACTCTTAAGTTGCTAAATGCTCCACTATGTTCACCAGCTAGTCCCAAATTGGTGCTGAGCATGTAGTGTGAAGTGGGTTGTTGCCTGCTTTGCATCAAAACGATGCTGTGAATGAACCCAAACTGTGAAGTTTTTGGCCCTAAAACCAGAACAATAAACTGAAAGAGGCTGAAACTCGCTGTAGAGCCAAGGGCCAAGTCCAGTAATTATCTGGGTTTATCACTATGAGTGAGTCATTTGATCAATTATTATAAATACATAAAAATCTTTTTAATTACTTTGGACGATAATATTCTTACATGGTGCATATGCATACAGTAACTAGTAGATGTTATGCATTGAAGGTGACCCACACAGTAACAAAACACAACAATTCTTATTTTTAGGTGATTATACACTAACGAAAACATACCTATGAAGATTATATTCCATTTCGGATAATAGATCCTCCTAAATGTTCCAAACTGGACCTTTACTGGGAATATAAAGTTTGGTAGGTGGGTGTCCTGGGGGGTCAATGGGGGCCCAATGTGGAGTTTAAAAGAGGTGGAGGTATATATATCTTGTAAAAACTATATCCAGTACCTGCATAAGTCTTATCTTCATTGGACTAATCTGTATTGCATGCCTCCACTTGTCTTCCTTCATCCTGTCTTGGATGGAAAACCTCTTATTGATTTAATCCTTTAAATGATCCTGTAGTCTACACTCAGGCTCTGTCCTGAATGCCTGAGACCAGCGCACTAATGATGCTGGTAGTGATACCAGCAGCAGAGATGGGGATAACAGTCGCCACTGTAACGCTAGGCCAGGTACGGCTGGCAGGGCTGGAGGTGCTGATGGGTGCTGGCTACATGAGGCGGCCCGTTGCTCCGAACGCTTGGCCGTCTGCTATGTAAACCCTGCAGCAAACGCTCGACGGGCCAACAAAACATCTCGGGGAGTATTTATTTTAACAGGCCAAACGATACTTCTATTTCTCTCAGGAGGAATGTTAAGGTTAAATGATTCCCCTTAGAAAGAAAAACATTGGGGTTGGAATTGGGGGGGGCTTGGGGGAGGGGGGGCATATGAGGGTTTTGAGTTAACTTGTTCTGTGATTTCAGTTCAAATGAGGAAATCAATGTAGAGTCATGCACTGATGAAAATGGATGCTAGAGAGGGATCTTTGTCCATTTCCTCTGCTTTAACTATCAAGTGCTCCCGCTCAAGAATGTAGCTACAGCCACAGTATCAGCATCACTCTTATGGTCATGTACAGGTGCACACAAAATACATATAGACCATGAGCCGGTTCAACCAGCCCTTCTTAACTTAGACTAGTTATATGTATTTAAGTGGAAACTAATTCTTACATAGGGAACTATTATTACTATTATTTTTTTCAACCTGTTAAAACCCACTTGCCCGCCAGTGCCAAGGTTAGGGTTAGGTGTATATAGGTGTGGTAGGGTTAGGGTAGTTGTGAAGAGGTTAAGAAAAAAAATTCCAAATTCTCTGATTTCAGCTGCTCTTTTCTGGTTTCTTTAGTCCTGTATGATAGTAAATTTAATGTCTTTGGGTTGTGGACAAAACAATCCAAGACACTTAAGGACGTTACTTTGGGCTATGGGAAAAGCTGATTGACATTTTATGGATCAAACAAGTAATCAGTTAATCCTGAAAAGGATCGACATATTATTCAATGGTCTAAGGACAGAGGGTGGTGAATGTTGTTCAGATTGTAAAGCCTCTTGAGGCACTTTGTGATTTGGGGCTATATAAATAAATTTGGGCTTGAATGGATAATTAAAATAATCGTTAGTTGCAGCCCTACATTAGTTGTTGCTAAATACTGACACCCAGTAACTGCCAGGGTGTATATAGTTAACTGAACCAACTGACACAGCTAACACTAGCATGCTCAATATCATCCATTTAAAGTGATGAGTAATATGGAATGTGGTTGACACATCTGACCCATTGATCAAAATGCTGTTTTGATGTAACCTGGAAAGATTTGATTGGAGATTCCACCAATCACCAACTCTGCTTTAGTTAAAATAAATCCTTAAATCTTTGATAACTAAGGCACGTGTGGCCAAACAAACCACGGAGAAAATGCGATAGCAACACAGGCGGCACCATTCTCTGCTCAGGACACCATTACTCCACTATATCTTCACATAGCTAAAAGTTGTTTACTGCTATATTAACATTTTAAATGTCATATTTATACAAATGTCATATAACCTTTATGTTTTAATGTGCAACCACATTCTAGTTACAATCTAGCTCTTTGTTACATTTATGAGGAACTCCATAGTTTTACTGTAACCTCTTAAAGGACAAATATGAGTCAAGCTTAAGAACTTTGGAAGAAATGTATGTACAAACTAATTCATGAATTTACGAGTAGCTAGTGAAAACCAATCCAGTAGTCAAGCTACTCAAGACAGACTCCTGAATGTACGTGTATTTACAGATCTCAACATAAAAAACCTGATTGTATAGACTGGGTAAACAGTAATAACAATATAAAATAAATCTTGAACCTTAAACCCAGATCATTACGCTCCGTTCTCACTCCTTGACCCCACATGTTAACACACCTCTCCCTAATTCACAACACATTGCCTGTTAGCAACCCTGCCTCAGCCAGCATCGAGCTCCCTCTTAACACGAACCCTTATTGTCAGGAGGACAATAAAACTATGAAGTTGGAAAAAGAAAGAACTACATAAATACATGTGAAAATATGCTGCGGGGACTGGCAGAGGGTTTGCAGTCATGAGAGGGCTTGTTGGGAGAGCGATTTGTTTTAATGAAAAAAAGTCATTCGTAGGGAGAGGAAAGGGCCTGACTGCATGGTTTAAGTTTCTCCTCTGTAATAAAAGCACCAGGACTTATGTGTCTACATGTGTGTGTGCTGTGTGTGGGTGTACAGGGGAGACCGCAGAATAAAGGAGACGCACTCTAGCAGCCAGACACACACACACACACACACACACACACACACACACACACACACACACACTCATCAAACAGTCAATCATCAAGAACTGGCAAAAATATCTATGAGAATCGGTCTGTAGGTAGCCACACACACACAAAAGGGAGTGTGTGATCTTTTCTACAGCACTTGAAGTAGTTTCCTTGGATGCACAAATGACTAATAGACAAAACATACTGCCTACACACACAATATTGTTTCTTTTTTTGCATTTATCAGTTCATGTTCCCGCTGATGCCTTCCGTTTGCCTTCTTCCAGACTGCGGAGGATCCAGACAGTGGGGGATGGAGCGGGCGGAGGAAGCAACCCTCCTACTACCTGTCTCCCTACAGCACGCTGACCTTGAACCTCCGCTGCACTAGCAGGAACAACACAGAGACACAGCTCCCCCCACCCCCCACCCCCCTTGTGAGAACGATAGTGAGGAAGAGGAACAGAAGGAAACAGAGAATAAAAGGGACAGCGTGTTGGATAACCCGTGAGGATCGAGGGCCTCTGGGTGGTCCCATCATGAAACCTTCAATCTCTGTGGGCCCCCCTTCTGGCCTGCTGCTGGTCCTGATGTGCTGCCCCCTGCTGGGCTTGGTCCAGTCTGCCAGCAGCAACAAGGCTAGCGATAACCCACACCTGGGAGACAGCAACCCAGAGCGGTGCATGAGGCACCACTTTGTGGAAACTATCACACACCCCATTTATAAGTGCAACTCCAAGGTAGGGTGGAAACACACACACACACACACACACGCACGCATGCACGCACACACACACACACACACACACACACACACACACACACACACACACAATGTAAGCCAATCTGCTTCACTTTGGCCATTTTTGCTAACAAGTTGTTTAAGGTAACAGGGCTAGTCTACCTGACAAATGAACTACTTTGTTACAAATATCTGGGAAGCAATTTGTTCCAAACCAAGCCTCGGAGACGCAAAGAAAACCCAGAGCCCCGGCCAAAAAAACTAACTGAAAAGTAATTTTTCTCTTTCTACTAGTATTACTCTTGTTGCCCCTCGACAGCCTCCCATTTGGCCAGTGTCGCTTTCTTTGCTTCTTTCTCTTTATCTCCATCTCTCCGTCATTTAGACAAGTCACGCTTGGTTTCTTGCGGAGTTGTGTGTGTGTGTGTGTGTGTGTGTGTGTGTGTGTGTGTGTGTGTGGTGCTGGACATGGGCCACGCTGCAGACATATTCTGCAGCTCAGCTGGGACTTGGCTGAAGTGGACGTCTCCCTGTCATCCTGCTCTCTCCTGCCACTAAAGGCTAAAGGAAGAGAGAAAAAGGAAAGAGAGTTACCAACTGATGTGAGGGTGTTTCTTCCTCTGAAGTGTCAGACGGCTCAGAGACAGCCACTGTAAAGAGAGGCCCGTTGAATCACGCCAAACATGTGGACACTGTTGTGGAAAGTGGCTGTTCAAACGCTGTCCTATTGTTGTGTTCCGGTGCAGTTGTTCAGCTAGATTTTTTTTAATATTCTGACTCTGAGTGCATGGAGCAGGTGGCCAAACCACAGCCCGGCTCAGGGAAAGAAGGTCTGAACACACTCTTAATGTTTCAGTACACAGAGAACTGATAGGACGCCAGGCTGAGCGACCATTTTACGGTCAGTATGTACAGCTCACACGCAATCCACCTGCACCATGACTTGTATTGTTTCTGTATTGTGTGTGTGTGTGTGTGTGTGTGTGTGTGTGTGTGTGTGTGAGTGAGTGTGTGTTTATAGAGGTATCTGTGTGTGGTAAAAGGGGTGGTATGAACATGTCTCTGTGTACTTTCATCTGCTGCCCAGGTATAGAGAATGTTTCTTAAGGGAAAATGGTAAATTGGCACTATACAAATTTAAAGGTTTTCTCTAGGTTTATGTACGGTGGCTAAGAGGTGTTGAACAAACTACAAAATGCACAACCTGAATGCAAAAGCCAGAAGTGAGGCAGTGGTAACAGTAGTTCTCAACCTGTTTTGACCCAGCGCCCCACTATTCATTATCCATGTTCCTTACTGTCCCCCATCAAATAAAATGTGGGCTAATTGTCTTTTCTGAATATTAATGTTTTATATTATATATTATATAGGTTATATTTTATTATGTTTTATTTACAATGCAAAAAAACCCCACCTCTCAGCCACTGCCTTTAAGACACAGCCAGCAGTTATAAATATCTCAACTTTGTTTATGAGAAAAGTGATCTTTGCAAACCTGTGTATAGATAGCTGAGCAGGAGAATAAGTGGTGAGTCAAAGTAACAAAGATCAACTCGCTGTCAACAGGGGTGGAATAGCTGTGTCTCAGTACAATAAGCCTGTATACAGTATATGTACATACTGCAAAAGGATCAACAAACAACAAATCCCAGGGTCAAACTGCTAATTTAAAGGTCAAGAATGAACACGCTGAGTCAGGACTGAAACTAAGAATTGTTTTCACTATTGGTTAATCATTAATTTTTTTGTGGATTAAACTGTGGGGAATAATTACCCAGGGCCTAAGCCAGGTGTCTGAAACTTAAATTGTCTTGGGGCCACTGCTGGTATTGTCATCTCATAGGAGGGACACTTCAATGTTCAAGTTCTACAAAAAAGAGCAATATTCTGGAAATACTTACATTACAACATCTACATCTTTGTTTTTAAAGTACTGAAACCTGCTCTTTGCGCCAAACAAAACAGATTTCTAAAATATGATTGTATTTATGTTTTAATTGTTTATGAAGTGGTAGTTTAAAGTGATATGAAACAACTTAAACACATTAAACAGAGAAAAACAGCAGTGTTACTGACCACCACTGAAATTTGATTGGTCACTCCAATTAACCCTTCCCTCTTCTACTCCACACCGTCTTTCAGAGGCTGTATTGGGCTCCGTTTTAAAAATAAAGTGAAGATACTGGTATCATATGAAACTATATGACCTAACATATCCATTGGTACCATGTTGACCTAGCTTGTCGGGAAGGAGGCCAAATAACGCTCCAAATTTAGGCAAACCTTTTAGCAATGGAAAAACTGGCATGGGCATTTTCAAAGGGATCCCTTGACCTCAAGATATCTGAATGAAAATGGGTTTTATGGGTACCCACAAGTCTCTCTACAGACATGCCCACTTTTTGCTAATCTCATGCAGTTTTCTGCTTGTGATATAAATGTGGTCTTTTCGCCTAGTGTATTGGAATATTGCTGCTTACTGGGGTTCATAAACAGTGTTGGAATTGTGTAAATTGGGAATGACTGGAAAGCTGAGACACATACTTAATACTTACCCTGCATAAGTCAGAGACCCAATTGTGCCAACTCAGTCAAAACAGTCCAGAAACACTAAAAGAGACCTAGACATACCCTGCTTTGGATGCCACCACTAGCAAGTTCTACTCTATCGTTGGCTTACATGAAGAGGTAAATGACCATCAACCATATCATCTTTTTTTATCTAGCTGCTCATGAATGAAAGGAGGAGCAGAAAAGGTGCCGACAGAGAGGAGGTGGGCAGAGGAGGAGAGGGGCGTCACAGGAGAGGATTCTCTGTTTGACAACCTGATCCTCAGCTAGGACAAAGACAAATGGTCTTAAAGTGGCGACAACACCCCTGATTGTGTGTGTGTGTGTGTGTGTGTGTGTGTGTGTGTGTGTGTGTGTGTGTGTGTGTGTGTGTGTGTGTGTGTGTGTGTGTGTGTGTGTATGTGTCACCCTGCCATGGCCCCAGACAGGCTTTTGTCAAAGTGGGTACATGGGTGGCGACAAACAGCAGCTGACAGAAGGACATGACACAGGAGTCTGTTTAGGGAGGCGACAGGAATGTAGTGACCCACAGAGGAATGCCAGTGGGACGAACACAACACTAATCAGGCCTGTGCTGTGTGTGTGAGTGAGTGCGAGCTGGCTGGTCAGACTTGGGAAAGGAAACAGGGACAGGAAAGCTTGATACAGTGGTTTTGTTCCCTCCACAACTATAGACACAGGGTACTTACATGCAGCCACATAGATTACTCTGGATTAGGAATGGGCGATATGTTAAAACTGTCCAACCGGCCACGTCAGCCCAACAACCGGTGATTGCTGCTTTTTTCGCGTTGGTGTGTGTGTGTCCCAAAATCACCCAAAAATACCAACCGGCGATGTACTCCAGCGATAGCCTGTTCGGACGGCTGTGTGTGAACCTGAGCTCTGAGCTGCAGCAAGTGTAGGCGTGAGTGACTGGTCTCGTAGCTATCTCTCAGTTTGCAGGTGCAAGGCCGGGGCTGGCTGCGAGACTCAGGAGACATTCTGAGCCTAAACACACAGCTCACTTATAGGCCAACACTATCTCATTGCACTAGAAAAGAATATTCAAAAATATCATATTGCGATATTTTATTTTGTGATATTGTATTTATTCTGTGTTGATTTTTGCGACTATGATGTTGGATGTTATGGCGACTATGATGCAAATACAGATCCCACTGTTCTTCATAAAAAAATCTACTTCTACTGCAATATATCACCTAGCTTACAGTATTGCAATATATCAAAATATATTGAATCGTAAACCCTGTATCATTATACGTATCATATCGCCGGATTCTTGCCAATACACGGCCTTATAGTGTACCCTAGAGACCCTTTCCTCATCTTGACTACATGTTACTAATCACATCCAGTCCTGTTTTCTTCAGCTACAAAATATCACAAATCTCCTATGGAATTCACACTTTTCCCTTTCTTCTTCTTTAAATTTTTTTTGAAAGTAGCCAACCAAAAAATCCCACCCCCTCCCATTAAGTCTCCCTCATTTCCCCAACACATTTGAACGTGTTGCTTTTTCCAAACCTTTTGTTCGTAACAATTCCTACTTCTGTCTTTCTTTTCTTGCATTGTTTAGCAGTGCCTACTGTTGTAGGCACAGGTGGATCTCATCGCTTCCGTTTCATTTCCACTTTATCCTCAAATCTTGACCTTTTATCCACCCCCCCACCCCCCGCTCCAAATACAAGGCAGAGCCCCAATCCTCTGGAATCATCTTCCCTATGCACTCAGATTTACTGGATTTTTGGACTGTTTTAAGTGGCTTCTAAAAACCCATCTCTGTAAGGAATCCTTTTTATAGATCTCCTTCCCTGTCTTTGTTTTTTCCCTTTTGAGTTTTAAAAGGTGCTATATAAATTACTTACTGGCTCATTGTACTCCCTTTACTCTGCTGTTCTGTGTTCCAGATGGTGTTGCTGGCACGCTGTGAGGGCCACTGCAGCCACACGACCCGCTCTGACCCCCTCATCTCCTTCAGCTCGGTGCTCAAACAGCCCTTCAAGAGCACCTGCTCCTGCTGCCGGCCGCACACCTCCAAGCTGAAGGCGGTGAGGCTGCGCTGCGCTGGCGGGACTCGCATTACGGCCACTTACAGATACATCCTAGCGTGTAACTGTGAGGAGTGCAGCTGAGCAGGGAGCAGCAACCCTCCCAAACCCTCAAGACTCTCAAGACCCAGGATCCTCTTTGACCTTGGGCCTTACTCTGAAGCTATCCAGAGCTTTTTGGTTGATTGTAGGAGTGACAGCAGCTCAGGATGCTTGTTGTTGTCATGGGAGTGATAGTTTGGAGCAATCACATAGGCCTTGGGACTCGGACACAACATACTATACACTCTCCATTATGTGCATCCAATCAGTGCAAACCATACAGAGCATATTTCTCTAGCACACAAGGCCAGACACCACAAACTGCTGCTCCCATGGGCCAGATGGAGACCCTCCTCACTGCAGAGACACACTGCACTCATTACAGGCCTCCATAATCCATACCACACATGCTCACAAACCACAGTGTGAGAGCTCATTACAAATATCTGTAACAGCTTTCTGCCAGCTCCATAAAAACCCCACCATGCATTTGACAACAAAACAACACGGCTTGTAAAAAAAGCAGCATGGGAAAGGAACGAGGCCCAGATGAGAACGAGCGGGGTCCGCATGCGCCCCGGACATGTGGTGGATCTATAGAGAAGCACCAGCGCTGTGCTTATTCACCCAATAACATTTTACACACTCCCTGCAGACTTTCATCTCGCTGTGTAAAACATGCGATGCTGACAGGAGAGCTCATCAGGTGGACAATGAAAGAGTAGTGGCAGACGGTGTAAAAGGAGCTCTGAGGATGAGAGAAGAGCAAGGAGAAAGGTCAAGCCAGCGCCTGGGTGGTGGTGTGGACTGTGAAAAGACTGTCAAGGCAATCATTTTAAATGTAATCTATTCTATTTGGATCTTTGTGATGTTCCTGTGAACATTATTGAAACTATAGCTACTATCACGCCGGGTTTTTTGAAACTGACGCTTTCGCCTGTGGTATAACGTTACTAAAGATATGTCGGATGTTTTGGCTCACAGAAAAAAACGCTTGTGTCAAAACAGCACTGTAGTTGCTCTGCATATGTCTGCAATGCCTGCACACATTTTTCTCATAGTCCACAATGATGAATCCACAACTTCAAACTTGCATATAAGTCCTTCGGTGTGTGTGCCAGGCTCTAACAACGTCATTGGCCGTTCTTGTGGTCAGTTTATCCGAATTAAAAAAATACCAACTCAGTCCCATTGTCCCCATTGTGGTTTATTCATCATAAAAACAAAAACACTCAAATTATCTTACACCACAACAACTTCCGTGCATAGATTTTGACTTTGAACTAATGGGAGGTGTTATGGAAGAAAAAAAAAGGTCATAGTCCAAATAGTCTGCTTGGAACAAAAATTAAGTCCTTAAACAGTAATCTCCTTCTTCTGCCTCATTAAAACTTCCAGAATCTCTGAATATGCAAATGTAATTGATTTCTAAAGTTTCCCTGCTGGACACAAGATGTCTCCTACTTCACTGTAAAGTCCATTCTCAGTGGATGTGTACTGGTGGCTTCAAGTTTCTACATCACACTGTACAAGTTGATACTGGACCAAGACTGACTTCCTGACTATTTGTGATGTCACAAATCCTGCTGGTAGGCCCCGCCCCTTAAAATCTGATTTTCAATGAGCTCAGAGAAACTTTCCACTTTCAGCAGATGAATGTGAAAACATCCTTCTAGTGTCAAACTCTGCACATACAGCATTCAAACATCAGAACAAGAACAAACACTGATTATGACTGGAGGAGGGCTTTAATGCTGAAATTTAGATGAGTTCATAGCATTTAAATATTTAGCTTTAAAATAAATTTTCTGACTTGAGTATGTGGTATGAATTCCCCTATTTGAAAATTCTGGAAGGTCATTTAAAGTTGCACTCAAATTTAAGTAGAGAAATAAAGCATCTAATATTCTAAAAACTAGATTCAGATTGGTGATATTTAGTTCAATTCAATTCTGCTACTCAGTCAAATGATCCAAGGAAGACAGTTCAAGAAAGTTCAAATTAATTAAATTATTTCTGAACTTGCAAAAAAAAGTGCACTACTTGAGAAAAACGTTTCAAACCATATAAATTCAGGTTTTCAAAACATAATATATGAGTGTAATCACTCAGCTCTATACTATAGATATATACTATATCCAATACTGTATATGCATTGTTTCCTATGAACCCATGTAAAGGCAATTTGAGTCCAGTACAGAAATGGCGGACTCCACTACTAACAATAAAAACTACTACATAGATAATATACAACATGTGGATACAATTAATTGCCAACCCTAAATAGTATCAAAAATGGGGATTGATTTCATGAAAATCGATCATAGGATTACATACTGATGTCTCTATGTGACCTACATAAACAAACAAGATTATCAGTGAGAAGATTGGCTATTTCTATATAGTTATTCTTAATGCCTGCCACCTGTCAGATTCCCCTTGAAATCATTTAAACAAGAAGGTAGAAACACTACCACTTTTGTCCACAGGCCCGCCAGAATTGGTTATGGGGAATGATTGGAAAGCTAAGACAAATACTTCTGGGATAAGTCAGAGCCCCACTTGTGGCCCGCTCTTCAAAAAAGTCTGGACACACCCCTGGCCAAAACTGTAACTGTAAATATAATGCTTCAGATTCTCAACAGTGGGTAATTTAGATAAATGAATGTTGCATTTGTGAAATCATGGCTGACTCATAGCCATACCAAAAACAAGCCTGTTATGCCTGTGAGACAATCAATGTGAGTGTAAAAGAAATCCAATTCGAGAAATATAAAGTGAGTGGTCGAAATGGCCTCTGTAGCAGCTGTGTCAAGTGATGGACCCATTCTGCTGAGGTATCTATGAGCAATATGCTGAATCCCATCAGCTGGATGCTGCCCTGACTTCCCTGAGGGAGAATAAAAACCGAATCTCCCCCTGTGGATTAATGAAGTATCCAATTAAATTTCCCTTTCAGAATGGATACGAAAGCTGAAGAGTGTTTAACATGTTGGGAGTACAGAGCTCTGTGACTTGCAGACTCTTTATGGTTTTCACACACACACACACACACACACACACACACACACACACACACACACACACACACACACACACACACACACACACACACACACACACACACAGTATAAGTGCCCAGTACAAATACACTGTTTTGTGGACGTCTCAATCCCGACTACAACTGACAGCACCACCGGCTGCTTCACACATGAACTTAATAAAACCGTTTTCCCTTCCACTCTGGAGATTAATCTGCCTTTCTCTGCTGTCTCCTCTAACTGTGTCTCTCCTTCATCAACACACACAAAACGTGCACACACACACATTTTGTGACATCAGGCAGGAGGTATAATTACTATTTGGGAAACCAATGTGACAGAATGACAGAGGGCCAAGAGAATGACTGTCAAGCTGATGCTAAGTGCACTCTTTTACGGATATCCTAGCAGAGAGACATGAAGGCAATTTCCAGACTTTCTAATTAAAAAAGCGAAAATTGTCATTCATCAAATGTAGTTTTTCACCTCTATTTCTGGCTGTTAGGCGGGCAGACATGCACATGTGTTCTTTTTATAACTCGTCACATCAGCTGACATTGCACACATTTATTCATCCTTGATCCTAATCATAACCATCCAGGCGTTTAATAAAAATCATAGAAAAGAGGCAGTTTATTGGACTGCACTATAGGTGCCTCCTTGTTAAAGAGAAATTCACATCTGTGTTTAGCATTCCATTAAAATGCCAGACGTGAAACATGGACAACAGCCATGTGCTGGAGGGCTGACAATATGACTATTCACTAACTTCATTTGTATCATGCTGAGGTTCTTGATGGAGCTGTCAGTGCATACTACAGAATACAATAATAACAATTGTGTTGGAATGCTTATACGCTTAAATAGTTGATAAAAATCTTCAACATGAAAACTAAACATTTCAGTTTATAAATATTTTTGTAGATGTTCATAGAAGTTAGGGCTGGGAAATATATCAATGTTATATTGATATCATGATATGAGACAATAGACTTAGATATTGGATATCATAACATAAGTGTTGTCCTTTCCTGGTTTTTAAGCTATAATATGTAAAATTTCTGCATTAAATTATAAACTCTAGCTCTATGTTCTATATGTAGTTGAGTTGTGTACTTCCATTATCCCAAATGTTTCCAACAATGTTCAAACTCAGAGAAATCTGTCATTTTATTCAGGTAACGCTGCGTTTCACCGGTCGCCTGTCGATGGCATCATATCCCCTTTGTGCCTGCATCAGTGTTGTGGTTGTCTGCCAGAAGCTGTCATACATTGACTGTTTATCCAGTCTGAAGCCACATTGTTACCATCCACTGTTTAGATCTTGGTGCTTTTTAACTCTAGATTTGAACCGGATGAAGGATTTTAGTCATCGGACGTCTGGATCTTAATTCAATTTCAATTCAATTCAATTTTATTTGTATAGCGCCAATTCATAACAGAAGTTATCTCAGGACACTTTTCAAATAGAGCAGGTCTAGACCGAACTCTTTATAACATTATTTACAGAGACCCAACAGTACCACCATGAGCAAGCACTTGGTAACAAGGGCAAGGAAAAACTGCCTGTTAAAAGGCAGAAACCTAGGACAGACCCTCCGTCTCTAGGTGGGTGGTCGTCCGTCTCGACCAGTTGGGGTGAGAGAGAGAGAGAGAGAGAGAGAGAGAGAGAGAGAGAGAGAGAGAGAGAGAGAGACAGACAGAGAGACAGACAGGTGCACAGCAACAACAGTATTGGCAATGGCAATCTAGCAGGACCATGGCAAGTTATCTTAAATTATCAGAGAAACAAGCTGAGCTAATGTTAGCAGCAGCTCGGCTCGCAGCCCCTCCGGGACGTCCTCTGTCTGTCCAACAGGGAGCTGCTCTGGGTAACTTTTTTAGAAATAACTTTTTGTCATATTCACTGAAACTTTCACTATATCCTGACAGTAGAACATGAGACAGATAATCTGTGAAAAAATCTGTTTTTGGCTCCTCCTAGTGCTTTGAATGGCATTTGCAAGAATTCACGGGGCCTGAACGAAAACAACCAATCAGGGCTGAGAAATGATAGTTTATCGTCAAATATCAACGCTGGAAATGAGACTCAACAATCAACTCATTTCAGGCCACCAACCTAAAGTATCTTTCTGTCTTTCTTGGCTCTGATTGGTTGGCTTCGTTCAGGTCCGGTGCATTCTTGTAAACCAAAACATTCTTCAGCCAATGTAACAATCAGCAGCCAAACGATCAATCAGCCATTTGTTGAAGCTCTAAATAGTATTTCTTTTGTTCAGGAAATAACTGCAACATCAACCCTTCATGTCAGGACTTACATGGTTTCTATACACTGTACAGACTAAATAAATAAATGAATATTCTTAAACTAAGTGCCTTTTATTTATATAATCTTTTATGAGTGTCCATGGTCTGCCTAAGCTGTAATCTCTATAATGCCCCTGCAGGGCTGTGGCTGCACGTTCCATCACTATCAGTTCAAGTCATTTAGCCAGTGATTAAAACAAAAATGCTTTGATTGTTGTACTTTCCAGCTGATAAGAATTATCCTTTTTATAGAAAGAAATGTTATCAAGCGTTGTGTTACTGCAAATTTCATTCCATCCACTTTAGCACAAGCACAACAAGCACACTTCAGGGCATAGTGATACTTTCACATTCAATATTACACACATCATATTTTGGACTCAAAGTTGTTTTATCTCTGGGCAATGCCATAACATATGTGTTAAAGAACCAAACGAAGAAATGGATTTTATAGACTACAAACATAGAAATAAAATGGGGAAAATGTATAAATGTGTCACACTGAATATGAGTCAACAGCATTGGACTGGCTTTGTGAGTGTATGATAGTGTGAGTGTGTTTCTACAGACCTCAGTGACCTGTCGGAAATGTTGATTTCACTCTTGCAGACTGAAATATGTATTTGTTCCTGTGCCAACTGGCCTTTTAAATAACTTTATGTGATATTTGTATCGTATTTACAGCACTTACTTTATCAGTTGTCTCACTGGTCGTTGCCTATTGTTTGTTTTCTGGTGATATTGATTATGTATATACTGCTGGCTGTACAACTTTAGTTATGCCCTTCAAGGATAATAAAACTACCACTGAGTCCACTTTTTTTCTCATATTCTCCACAAACCACCCACCGTTTTATTTCAGAGTGAAATTTCAGACCACGATTGTTAGTCATCAAACAGTAGTATTCATTTAACTGTAGACAATATATAAATCCTAAATACATTTGTGAAGAGATAATACAGGCTGCAAGATAAGATAAGATGACTTTATTGATCCCACACTGGGTAAATTCACACAGCTCCAGATACAACACAAAACAACAGATAAGAAATTATACATAGATAAAATTAGAAAAAGAAGAATAAGAGTTGTATACATTGTTTTGTATACAGATGTGATTGACATGAGTTTCTTAATTCACACATGGTGTATAGCATTATAATAATAAAAAAATCATATATATATAATTTATCTTAAAACAGGGATGAAAGGAGGCACAGTGGCACAGGGCAGAATTATACAGCAAGTGTAATTTATAGAAAATATAGGCTATAAATATACAGGTATAATATAGTATTAACAATGTGCATATAAGAAATTATAGATTTATAATTGCACAGTACAGGTGTAGATAAAACAAGCTATGTATGAAGTGTGTATATAGATTATGTAGTGTATAAAGAGTTGCTGCTGCCCCCTGCTGACAAGCCACACTATACACACCTGTAGCTGGGTTTAATGTAACCTCACTGTGTGCAGCACAGTAAAGATGAACATGAAATGTTCTTTGTAAATGAAACACCGCAGGACATGTACAGTATTACTCTGTCTATACACTCTATGTATTCTGTGTTTGGTCTACTGCTGAGTCTTGGATAAAACCTTGTGCAGACACCTTGCAGAGAGAACAAAGACAGCGCCACAGAAAACAATGTGCTCTGTAGCTATTCTGAACTGTTTCTAAACTTCACCTCCCACACATATCGTCATGGCAACGTCTGCCATGACGATGCAAACAATGCAAACTCAAAATGCCCAGGAATGTTCCTGGAAAGATATCAACTGACGACATGAGCTGCTATTAGCCTCCACAGCTCATCATCTGATTAAGATAACAATAGCTAAACAGCACAAGAAAAGGAATCAGGTAGACACTGATATCCTTGATCAGCGTGTATATTAATGTTATTATGTGTGTTTGATCAATAGCAAAATAACATACTGTACTTATGATCTGGTAATGAAGCAGCAACATCTTATAATATTATAAATATAATGGCCATCTAATAAGCATGTAAGTGTAGGAATAAACAAATACAATTATTTGAGAATGTAAAAAAGAAAAACACAATTTGGAATCACACGGGGAGAAGTGCTACAGTGACAATTGTTGTTAATTATTGATGTGAACATTTATATGGTGGCACAGGACAATATAGTTTATTGAACAATAAAGTGTAATCCTTAACCCAGACAATACAGAGATTGTAAAGATTACAATATTCAATATGAGTTTTCAAAACTCTACACAACATGCATGCAACCAGCATTGGGCAGTAACCCATTACTAGTAATAATATGGGCCATCATGGGCCATAAGTGCTGGATCTCTTCTGGACCATAATTCATTGCAGTATCTGGGCCGAAGCGGGCTGTGTGGGGCGTCACTGGGCTAGACCAATTCTGCTGTGTGTTATCATGTTTGGTTCAGGAGATATGATACAAAATATATAATTCAGTTATGCTGGAAAGTAAAATAGCCGCAAGGTGAAAATGTTAAGGGTCACCTCAAATTTGGCACATATCATCTGGACTGTTGTCAGCATAATTACTGACCACATGGTAATACTTGAAAGTGAAATATCAACACTTTCATTGCCTCCTCTCTTCTGGATTTTGGCAGCTGTACAGTACGAAGATTCAGTTTTTCTGATTTTAGTGAGTAAATCAAACCTTAAAACGTGAAGAGCCTTAAAAGTGAGAGGTGCAAAACTAATTTTGTGTTTTTTGTGTGTCTGTCATTTTCTTGATTAATCGATTAGCTGTTTGGTCCATAAAATGTCAGAAAATGGTGAAAAATGTTGATCACTGTTTCCCAATGACAAAGGTGATGACCTTAAAATGTCTAGACCAAAGATATTCAGTTTACTGTCAAAGAGGACTAAAGAAAGCTGAAAATAACAGGGTTTCTGCAGGTTTCAACAGCTTAAATGTAAGACTTTTTAAGACTATTGTGAATGAAATTTAAAGGTCCAGTGTATAGGATTTAGTGTCATCTAGCTGGGAAGTTGCAGATTGCAACTTGCTTGCTCAACCTTCCAAGCATGAGAAGATGGATGCAAAAACACAAATGCCCCAGTGTTTGGTTTGTCCATTCTGGGCTACTGTAGAAACTGGCGGCCCACAGCGTCTGTTGATACAAAAAGCTCATTCTAAGGTAACAAAACCACAACAATTCCTACATTCAGGTGATTATACACTAAGGAAAATATACCTATGAATATTATATTCCATTTCTGACAATAGATCCTCCTCAATGTTACACACTGGACCTTTAAAACCTTTTTTACATCCATATTGGCAACAAAAAGAAGTAGGATATGGAGGAAAATTGGTATTGGTTCCATGTCGGTTTAGTTTTGCAATTTTTCCCCAAAAAACATTTAAACATTAAAAAACTAAACTGGAAAATTCAACTTCATACAAGTAATGTTAATTTCATTAATCCAGTCAATTTTTCAGATCTGTCAAAATCATAATTAAGACATTTCATTGCCTAAAAGTAAGACTATAGGACTTTTTAAGTTTTTAAATCAGAGAATTTGGACATTTTTTCTTTAAAAACGATTCAAATGGGGTGCCCAGTTAGCTCAGTGGGTAGAGCTGGCAACCCATGTACTGAGGCTGAGTCCTTGCTGTAGCAGCTGAGGGTTCGAATCCAACCTGCGGCCTTTTGCTGCGTGTCATCCCCTCTCTCTTGCTCTGTCCCCCTTTCCTGTCTATCTTCAGCTGTCTCTATCATAAAGGCAATAAAAAGCACCCAAAAAATACTTTAAAAAAAAAAAATGACTCAAAATACTTTAATAGATTTACCTATTAGCAAAATAGTTGCCGATTTATTTAATAGTTGACAACTGATCAATTAATTGTTGCAGCAATTGACTTACAGAATACTTTTTATGAGGTCTTCTGTGTTCCTTTAACTGCTGTAATTTATCATCATTGGTGCATTCTTACAACACGTTACACTATACAGTCTGCAGAAAAATATCATACCACTTACAGTACTTTACTAATATGAGCTCTGAGAACCGATTCCAGGATTTTTGTAAAATGATTAAGACTTGTTTAGCTATGGATAGTGTTGTATTTGATGCATTAGTTTTAAATATTTTTGTAATTAGACTTGGAAAACAAAAACAGCCTTAACAGTGACCACATTGTTAAATTAACATCTCTTTGACAGTAAAAGCTCACACTAAGAGCTTTCAGAGGTAGGATTTATTCCAATTCAGTTCAATTCAATTTTATTTGTATAGCGCCAATTCATAACAGAAGTTATTTTAGGACACTCTTCAAATAGAGCAGGTCTAGACAGAACTCCTTATAACAGTAAATGTAATCACTTTACACCCTTACCTCCCCCCTTCTTCCCCAGTCTCTCCCATGCTGCCCTATAGTCCCTGTAAGGCCGTGTGGATGTGCTAGCGTGGGACTTTAGTAGCTTATTCCATAAATTAGATCAAATGAGGATTAGGATTAACCACAATCACGGTCAGATTAACCCACTAGGGGGCCTTTAAATTAATGTTAACAACCCTGAAAATGTGCATTGGAAAGGTGTTTGTAAATCATGTCTTATAGCACCTTCTGTTGCTCAAGATAACACACTGAATCAATTAAGAACCAATTAAGTCATTTTACAAAGAACTGAAGAACAAAAAACATTTTTGGGTACTAAATCAACAGTGAACAGCATGCAGACGGCGTTAGCCCTCCTCATGTATGATTCTGGACCTCTTTTTTATTTCTCAGCATTCTGCATGTGCAAAGATCAGCTCTTGGCTGGTTGTAACCAACCACAAGAGGGCAACATAAACTGAAGAATACACACGTGATGTCCTTGTCAGGGAGGATATTATACTATAACACACAATAGTAAAGGGTTATTGTCTGCTGACTCAGGACTTTAAAGGAAAAATAGATCAATTGAATTCAGCTTGAAACTTCCACTGCCACATATGTCAGATGGCAGAGTTTCCTAATCTGTACTTAAAGTATGTGACCTGCATGGGAGGCTGTGGCTGCTCCAGCCAGGGACAGTTCTTTCATTCTTACTGTTTTGGCATCCCATGGGATTCTGATCTGTTTTGTACAGGCCTGGTTATTGAGAGCAGAGCTGGGAGGCAGCGCGGCTTTTCTTGCTCTACTTTTTGATTACGTTTTTGAATAGATTCATTTGATAGAACACAACCTGATTCATTTCCAAAGTGTTAAAATGATGAAAGTATCATGAATAAAGATTTACAACAGTTAGGTACTTTGATACTGTCTGACTGATAAGAGAAGTCCTTGGACAAACAGTCACTGGCACCAACATCAGGAGCGAAGTCCGCAGTCTGATAACACTGCATAGAAATCATGTAAAAAGTAATGGCTATGCAGGTCCTTGAGACTATAATCCTCCCTGCCCACAAGGCACAGCGCTGCTCTACTATCGGTGGGCGGAGTCTGCAGGCAGTGGGCCTGCCCGGCGCTTTTAATACAGATGCGCTCCTCCATGCGCCCTGCGTTCAGCGGCGAGCGGACACGGCAGAGGCAGAGCACACAGCACCATGACTGCACCCAGAAACACCTACGATGTTATAGTGGTCGGCGGAGGAATATCAGGTAGGTGCAACATCAGTGAACTTTACTTTGCTCTGCATGGTTCGCGGTTTGATGGAGACCACGGAGAGATTGAACGTGAGCCACCGCCTGCAGCACCTCCTGCAGCGGGCTGATGCGCTTTGTGTGAGGTGACCAGACAACTGTTGCACAACAGATACTCGCACGTTGTGTCCGTAAGTGGCGCTACAACAACAAGCTGATTGTCCACTCACCCGAGAATGAGAGGGACTTTTATTTGGCACAGTGCGCGGCTTTTCTTCGCCCCGACGTGCCATCCATTTTCTCCGCGCTCACGTCTCTTCCGTGAGGCTACCTCTCCCCCCGTCCACCGCTGTATCACCACAGCACTGCCTGTTAAGTAACAGCTAATCAGCCAGGGCATACTTTGTGTTACATAAGGGAGGGAGTGAGGGAGGAGAGGGGGGTTCTCATAAATTATTATCGGTAGCATCTGTAAGGCTGACATGTTCCATTTAGTCATAAAAGCTTCCTACTTGTTGTTTTTGTCAGTGAGCCAGTCAGAGAGAGGGGGACGGGGTTGATGCTGAGGAGGACTTGCATCTGGTTCAGCATAATGTGTTCTACTATCAGCAGCTGCTCTGCATGATGTAAGGGTTGCAAACACTGATACTGGTGCTGTTTCCCCTCAGCTCTTCCAACACTTGGTGTATTGTTGCATATTAATAAAGAGCTAATTATTAGGATGGTTTATTCTCGCCCAAAGATAACAATACTAGTAGATTAGAGGAAAGTGACTTTTTCTGCAGCTTCCTTTGAAAGCACGCTGTCTTGTTAAGTAACACGCTGTTTTCTGTGAAGAAGGGAGTGTATAGTTCCTGGAATGGGACTATTGGCAATCAAAATCTGGCTGTTGTGTTTTGGTGGTCACTGTTAACTTCATTACAGACTGTCTGTTTTCAATAAGCAGTCCCTCCAGGATTTCACAAGACTGTGTTGGGATTGTTACAGCCTAAAATGCCTGATTTCACAGCAGCTTTCCTAAAAAATGATCTTTTTCGGCATGTTTTTGCAATATAATTGTGGGAGAAAATGAAAATTGCAAAAATAGATTTTATTTTGATTCATTAAAAAACAAAGGCAACTTGGTCCAGTGAGAATAAATTTGCACTTTCTGGAGTGTTTCAAGTAACCTTTCCAAAGAGGCTTATGATGGTCTGTATCTTCACAATTAGAAACAAGGAAGTGAGTTTGGTTACGTATGGCTCAACATTAGAGTTGCTGTGAGATTGATACCAGTAACGTTCCTCCAATACTGCCTAAAATGTATCATCACGTATCAGTGACTACGGTTGTCTGTACACCAATCCGATACCATGTAATTTAGTAGCTCCAAAATGAGACGCTGTTACTTCCCAGCAGTGTACTGTTTGCCATTTTGTTATTGTGAAGTCATGGCGCGCCCTACTGTGCAAAGGGTTTAACCCGAGTCAGGACATACAACAATGATAGCAATCATACAGGCTTAGTAGTATATGCTTGTTAAAAATAATCATAATATATCGCAAATGTTTTGGAACAGTACTCGTATATGCCAATATGCAAAGCTCAGGTATCGGGGTCAGCATCGGGAAGGAAAAAAATGTATCTCTCATTGTTTCATATGGGAAACTACAATGATTGGTGAAATTTGCGGAAAAGTTGTGGCGATTGGACAAAACTGCAAGATTGTTTGAATTTGTGTTAATTGTTGTGATCGCAACTTCCTGGTGGGACTGAATATGGCACAACATCAGATTGCCAGTGGCGTAGGGTAGTGACAACGGGTCTGCTGCATGTGTATTGTATTGTCTCATCAGATGATCAGATTCTTGATAAACACACATATTACCCAGCAATCATTGAATATCTATATATGACAAAAATACCAAGCAAAATAAGAAATTATTAATTTAATGTAATGAATAATTTCTTACTCATATAACCGCCTCATATAAATAAAAGAAGAAAATCTGAGCAGGATTTTCTCTGATAAAAATGGACTATAACTGTTTGGCTGGAACAAAATACTTAGCTTAAAGCACTGGAGATGTTGATTGAAATATCTCTGTCTTATATTAGTGTTACACGGCTTGATCTTGTCACTATTGTTCCCATGAGCCTCTCTGCAGCACACACACCATTTAGAGCACTGCAACTCATGCCAATGATGAGCTCTCAGCCTTTTAGTAGTGCAGCAGGACGCTTGAAGTTGCTGTGTTGACTGATGCCTGGCAGTGAGTGGAACCTCTGTTTTTTCTGTTCCCCCTGCCTGACCTCGGTCAGAGTAACAGGCCAATCGACTGCTTGCCTGCCTGCACGTCCATCTGTCTGTCAGACGGTGAAGAATTTAGGTCAGTGTCAGTTCAAATACCAGTCAAACAGGCTAAGCAAATGCTATTGAAACAAATAAATCTAATAACACTGGCAGCCCCCCCTCCGGCTTTCTCCTTCCCTTGTGTCACATTAGGGTCTTGTAATTACACAATTTGTTTATACCGCTGCCCTTTCCCGGGTTGCAATGAGGTCTACATATAACAATCACTGTCCAATCAAAGGACAGATGAAACAAGGGGAAGAGGAAGAGCCCTTTCCTGTCTTTGCTCCTCTCTCTGTGTCACCATCACCCTCTCTCCTGAGATGTGTGTTTTTCTCAGTTGGCCTGCAAATGCAGTTGTCATTTTCCTGCCCGCCAGCTGCCCAGCGGCAGCTCTCTGGCCCTCAAGGGGCAGCCAGCACTTTCTGAGGAAACGTTAAACACTTGTGACAGCCTGTTATCAAACCAGCAGCAGAGAGGATGCTGAGGAAGAGGGGGGAGGAGAGAGAGACATGGGAGCGGAATACAGAAATAACGGGGAAGAGAAGGAGGAAAACACTTCTTCCTGTTTTGCCTCAGCAGCTGTCAATGTGGGAAATCAAATGAGGTGAAATGGGAAGCAAAGAAAGGAGGAATGGGGCAGAAATATAAGAATGTCTGAGAATTCAGGAAGGGAGAAAGGGAAATGAGCCTTTGCAGAGAGAGTAAATCGGGAACTTGAGGTGGCTGTGAGAATGGGAAGAGGACAGAAGCATCGAATCACACGGTGCAAAAATAAGTGGTTGACAAGACTTATTGCTCCTGACTTGACTCAACATTGCTGTGCAGTCCAGTGCAGTTGTCCCCAATAAACTAAGCCAAGTTCTCCAAATCACTTACAACACACGGATGATTTAGAGAACTTGGCTGCACTTGCAGGGCCGTGGGTCTATAAACTCTGCTGCATTCCTCCTCTCCACAGACCTTTACCCAGACAAGTCGGCAGTAAAGTTAAATGACTATAAAATTACAACGTGCTTAATAGAAGTTACGGGTCAGTTCCCTGGAGGACATTTACCATGTCCGCACTGGCAAATCAATGAGAGCAGGACCACATTGTGAGCCAAATATTTTAATACATAAGTATTATTTAAAAGCAAGGGCGTAGGTTTGGTCACGATACAGCAGTTACGATTCAATATATTGCGATACTGTAAGCCAGGCAATATGTTGTGATTTTTAAAAATCAAATTTTAGGAAAACTGTCGTACTTGTATAGCTCCTTTCTAGTCTTCCGACCACTCAAAGCACTTTTACACTACGTGCCACATTCGCCCTTTCACACACATTCACACAGTGATGGCAAAGTCCATTGAACAGAAACTAATGCATGCATACACATTCACACACTGATGCACAGCATCGGGAGCAATTTGGGGTTCAGTATCTTGCTCAAGGATACTTTGACATGTGGCAGGAGGAGCTGGGGATCGAACCAACAACCTTCTGATTAGTGGACGACCCGCTCTGCCTCTGAGCCACAGACGCCCTCATAACTGCAGTATAAAGAACACAAAAAAAACATTTATTTTTATGCAACCAGAACAGTGGGATTTTAAATGTGAGAAGATTTTTTTAGTAATAATCAATCTCAATGTTGTAATGTTGTGATCGCAACAATTAATAATAACACAACTTATCTTAGACATTACTTTAGTAAATACAGTGTTATCATAATAGAATTATTGACCAGACCTACAAAAATGAATCCCAGGTTGTAATAAATTATACTTTTCCTTGAGGGGCAATGTACATGGGCCACACCATGTAGTGCTGCCTCATCTGGCCCATGTTCACAGAAGCCCGTATCACACACCCACACACTGGACACGTCACACAGACAGTGGAGTAGGTGGAGTGAATGTGCTAGAAATGCTGCTCTTCTGTAGAGTGTACGCTCATTAACGCTGGGTAATAGGTCAGTGACATATCCTGAATGCGTCAACCCATGGCTTGTCAAGTCGGCACCGGTGTGTGGGCTCACGTTGAAAACAATAAGCACAGGAGCTATGACGCGCACCCTGCCCTGCTGGTGGTGCGCTGCCCTTTATTTATGTTTATTCAGTGTTGTTCACACAGTAAGAGTTATCCTTAGGTGACAGGGCTTCACACACAAAGACACATTTAACTGGAGGGCTGTGGGATGTTTAATTGTGGGTGTGTTTGCCTGGTTTTGCTATACTTGCTAGCATATGTTGGCTGGTCCATGTAGTATCTTTTGCCTATTTGTTAAAGCGGTTACAATCAAATTTTCTGAATTACAATGTATAAAATGACAATGTGAAAACAACGTGTGATAGTGTTAAAGGGCTTACTCATAGTGGTCAACCTACAGAGCATTATTACCTGAATGGGCTTTAGGGAACCTCTCATGGCAGCACCTGTTATAAGTTAAAGTGCTCTAAGAAACCTAGGACTAAAGATCTGTCTTGTTGATTAGTAGTCATTAAAGCCATTAGTCCACTAGTCATCATGTTTATGATATTAATTTAATTATTTAACGAAAAAGGCCGTAATCATTTGGAATGTGGCGGAACAACCAGCAAGGAGACTGAACATTTAGCTAATTTATTTCAACAGAATATCGAGAATAAATAACTTCCAACTTCACAAAAGAAAATACCCAGACTTATCAGCTTGATAGATA